AGTGTCGGCCTACAGACTGAAGGGTCCCAGGTTTGATTCCGGTCAAGGGCATGTACCTTGGTTGCGGGCACATCCCCAGTAGGGGGTGTGCAAGAGGCAGCTGATCGATGTTTCTCTCTCATCAATGTTTCTAACTCTCTATCTCTCTCCCTTCCTCCCTGTAAAAAATCAATAAAATATATTAAAAATATTTTTTTTTAAAAAAATTTCACTGCATTTTAGGTATAAAGATGGGTAAGATTTGTCCTTGACTTTCTGGATTTGTGAAAAATTATAAGTCTCTATCAGCCTCTGGTATGAAGGGTGAAGGTTATATTTTCAGATTGTATGGTTGATTCATGGAGGGGGAAAAGGATGAATTTTTAAGGCAGTACTATGCAAGAAGTCTGAGTGGGTGTGGTCCTCTCATAATCGATATAAAACAGATTATGTCAACCAGAACACAGACAAGTGGAATGACAGACTGTGTAGGAAAGCAGAGACTTAAAGCACTGGCATCCCAGAGGGCAGGGCCGTGGGCCGGGAGTTCCTTTCAAGAGAAGCTTTCTAAAATTTGTGAGAGTTTGATAGAAGTAAACTGGTGCCTTGGCTGGAGTGGTGGAGGCTGTCCTTCTGTTTCTCCATCTTTCTTCTGTGCGGACCCAGGCCATGGAATGTGGAATGGTTGACTTAGGAGAAAAGGAACCTGGTTTTCTGTTGAATTGGACCTATAAACTTGTGTATTTTGCGGGGGGGATCTGCCTTGCTGTCATGTGAACACGTTGATAGTATCACTGAATGTCACAATATTGGTCAACATGACTACCTGTCTCAGAAACTGTAGCTCGAAGTGTCAGAGGCTCTGTGAACTCTTCTGCCTGAACAAGCCCCGATGAAACCTGGTGCTACAAATGTCCAGGGAATCCGAGGCTCAGAATTACACGTGGGTTTATGGAGCAGGTCTTGACAAATGGATTGAAGGGGGTGATGCTAGCTTGGCCCATTGCTATATTAAGGAGAGAAGATGATAAGTTACTAACTTTTCTTCCTCATTTCTGCCATCATTCTCTCCAGCTTTTCCTCTTCCATTTTCTTCATTTCCCTCCTCTTTTATTCTCATTGACTTATTAGTGAGTGACGAATGGCAAAGCTTCAGGATAATGTTCCAACATAATTAGCTGCACTTAAAGTTCTGCCGTATATATGAATAACATTGAAAATATCAAATTGTTTATGCCAGCATAACGTTCATTAATGACCACAGAAGTTGATTTCTTTGTTTAAAACATGTAATAGTGGCCAGCCAGTGTGGCACAGAGGTTGAGCGTTAACCTATGAACCAGGAGGTCACAGTTCGATTCCCAGTCAGGGCACATGCCTGGGTTGCGGGCTCCGTCCCTGTTGGAAGGCTTGCAGGAGGCAGCTAATTAGTGATTCTGTCTCATCATTGATGTTTCTATCTCTCTCTCCCTTCCACTCTGAAATCAATAAAAATATGTATATTTTTAAAAACATGTAGCTCTAACCAGTTTAGCTCAGTGGATAAAGTGTCGGCCTACAGACTGAAGGGTCCCAGGTTTGATTCCGGTCAAGGGCATGTACCTTGGTTGCGGGCACATCCCCAGTAGGGGGTGTGCAAGAGGCAGCTGATCGATGTTTCTCTCTCATCAATGTTTCTAACTCTCTATTCCTCTCCCTTCCTCTCTGTAAAAAATCAATAAAATATATTTAAAAAAACAAACATGTAATAGTAAAAATATAGGCTCACTGTCTGTAGAGACAAGAGACTACTTAACAACTTCGCTGATACCACACAGCTAAGATTTATGAAATATTATAGCTTTATTCTTTTGCTGTCACCAAAACTGATCCTGACCCAGATCAGGATCCTGCTGGAGTTACTATGACTTTTGTGTTTACCAGAATGAACTAGAACAAGTCTGGATTGTTAGATGTAGAAAAGCCAACAAATTCGCTCAGTAGCCCTCCCTTATTAGCCAGTGCTTCAGAGTGTGCAGGGCCTCTGGACACCTGAGGAGCACCCCATGGCAGAGCTCGCTTGACTTTAGATGGCTGGTTTTCAATCTGCAGTGAGAGATGTTTGAGTTACAGAAGGCGTCAGCATTTCCCCCAAATCTTGATTTTAAAAAATTTCACAGACATGCACAACTACACGCTTGGTATTCTAATATTCTGATAAACAGCGCAAGGAGTGCAGCGGCCGTGCGTTTCTGAGCAGCACTCTGAAACATACCAGACCCTCTATCACGGAAAATGTGCCCAGCTTGTATGATTTGACCCATGTCCAATCTACACAGCTCTCTTTTTCTTCTCCTGCCTTTTTTTGTTTTTTTCTCCTCTTAAGGACTAATGTCAGTGTGCAAGTATTTTGAACCCTCCCCTGTCCCAGCCCCCACAAGTTCCACAGGCTTGGTTGTGAATGCAGCGTGACTCACTGACTCCCACCTTCTGATGTTCGTTCTGATTGGTCATCACCTTGCTCCAGCCATATGGCTGCCAAGTACTCTAGCCTGCGTCCCTTTCTCCTTCTTCCCCCTACTATTCCCTTCTGCTGTGCACAGCCCTGGGAGTGGGTTCCGGGCTTTGTCTCTTGCTTGTAGTTTCCCCCAGTTGGGCAGTCAGTGAGAGAGAACACTGTATTTCCTACGGATGGCTGTAGGGGGAAAAACACCCTTTCCTTTCATGCCTGGTGTAATCATTATTTAGTCTCCTCTGCTGTTCCCGTTCAAAGTTTATTTGTTGGCAGGTGTCACATTTGTGGTGTTTGTTTTCCTCCTGGTTTCTCTCCTCCTGATTTGAGCTGTTTTTTCATGGGCTTTTTTTTAAATAAAGGTTTTTTGAGTCCCTTTCTCTCACTGCTATGTTACACTTTTGTTAGTTTGTTATGTTTGATTAATGCTGATTAATATGTTTGGGGGGGATAAGAGCAACTCTAAATACTTACTTATTTGTTAAATGTCTGGCAGTCACCAGGCAATGAAATCTATCTGTGATTCTCAGAATTATCCGTAACACCCCTGCTATTACTTTCCCCTCTCCTAAGACGTATCAGTTCAATTACTCTGCCATTTATACTTGAGACTTGAACGTTAATTTTTATAAGCATTTGATATTTTTATTAATTTGCATTTTTATTATTCTGCAGATGGTTTCTACAGAGACATTGGACTCTGCATCCTTTTTTTCTTTTTAATATTTAACTACAGAAAGAGGAAATGCTAGCAGAGTATATAGTACAGCAGTCCTCCCCCCCCCCATTGGCCTTTATATGATATTTTCATTGCCCCCAAAAATCAATAATAAAAATATTTAAAATTCTCTCAAGAATGTATTTTGTATTGACTTCAAGTTTTTAAAAATCCATTTTGTAAATATTTTAATATTCAAACAACGTTAAGCCAGTAGCCTGCAGGTTTGGATTCTTTAGAGAATACAAATGAAGTTGGTTAGAATCATATGCAGGAATTTGAAAATCAACCTGGCTCTCTGGTTTCACTTAACTCTTTATTTAAAGATTTTTATTCACTTTTTTTCTCTACTCATAATCTATATTAGAAAATAGCAATTATTTTTGTCAGAAATAACAAACCTCAGTTGATGAACTCACTTGAAAGTATATGAGAGAGGAGCTGCTTATACTTTCAGCCATGAGGGCAGGGAGAGTCAGAGCCCAAGTCTGGCCCCAGGTAGTTATTATATATTCTCTGAGCCTTTTGCTGGTCTTTGGACCCATCACTTTACGTGTCATGTGAAGAGAATGAGGACCATTGACTTAGCTACAGAGTATAGTTGTGAGCAAAAGTCCTTTCCCTCATGCAGCTTACGTTCTGTTGAAATGTATTCTGTAGTAATAAAGGTTTCCAAGTACACATTTTCTTGGATTTGAACAGGTCTAGAAAATTCAGCAAATGTTAATTTAAAATTTTCAACCCATGTAACTAAATCCCTACTCTGCGTAAACAAACGTAAGCATTTCTACAGATCTTGGCCCAGCAAAGAAGTCCAGCTCATGAGTTACCCTTTTCAGTGATTTAGAATGTCTGACGTTTATATTGCATATTTCTGAGATCAAGGTTTCTTTGTTTAAAAGTCTTTAATATTTGAATCTTTGGTAGATAGATGATATCTGATTGATTAACAAAAATTAATATGACTAGTATCTGTGTAGTCAGATGCAAAAAGAAAAATGACCATCAATGTGCCAATCATAGTTCTGAGTACTTTACAACTAGCAGCTGGTTTGGTACTTGTAAGAATCCTAAGGATATTGTTAGTCGCCTCACTTTACAGAACAGGACATTGATCCATAGATAGGTTAAGGAACTTGCCCAACATCATGTGACTGCTAAGTAGCAAAACTGAAATTTGAATTGAGGCAGCCTTTCTCCAGAGTCGTGTCTTCACTGCTATGCTCTACTACACTGCCCTCCCAGCCTAGCATGCTCAGCTAATAACAGTCAAGAAAGCTGAGCTCTGCTGCATGACCTGCATTAGCTTTTCTTCCCACCTGCGTGTCTCAGTTTCCCTTTATAAAATGTTTCTTATGCCATAGGTTCTCCTCATTTGTTGAATCTGTAAATTTTAGATGTAACAAATTTTAAAGATGTCAGAGGCATATAATTATTGCATATTTCTGTACAGCTGGTAGGACAATATAGTAGGTCCTTGCGTTACGTCGGAGATCCGTTCCTACAACGCAATGTAAGTCAGAACCCACCTACATAAGCACCTACATCACTCACATGGAGCACATACACAGCAGTAATGAAATGAAACAGTAAAAAAATTTTTAAAAGATAACAATTCCTGACTTTTACTTGTGGTAAATAAATAATAAAAAACATAAAGCACATATGTACATATGTCGAAATGACGGAACTTTTTTTTTTATAAATACTGTAAATGGGAGATGGCTACGTAACCACGAAACGACCAGAGTCTGACTGCCCGAGGACTGCCTGTATTCTGATGGCTCTTCTTTCTTTTTTCTCATTTGGTAGAAAAGAGTCGTTGAACAGCTTCGGAAGAACCTGATAGTAAAGCAAGAACAACCAGACAAGTTCCAAATACAGCCATTGCCACAATCTGAAAACAAACTACAAACAGCACAGCAGCAACCACTACAGCAGCTACAGCAACAACAGCAGTACCACCACCACCACGCCCAGTCGGCAGCACCCTCTTCCAACCTGACCGCTTCACAGGTAAAGTGTGGGAGGAGCATTGCAGGCTTTGGGTTGTGGATGGATGTGCTGTTGGTCATGTAGAATGAGGTCCTGTTTCAGGCTATATTAAGCTCAACCAGCCCTACACAAAAGTTATTTTGGTTCCTTTTTTATATTATAACTGTGATGGGAACCACTTGAAATTGATTGGCAGAGGGAAATAACATTACTAAGGAGCAAAAGTTAAATCATTTTCCAACTGTCCAGAGAAGGAGGGAAAGGTAGTGGGTGACAAAGAAAAATTGCTTCTCAGTATAAGAACAGAAGTAACGTCTTATTTTCAGTTTCTGGAAATATTTATTTGAGCTTTTTCTAAAAGTCTGTGTGATATCACCTCCTCTGGAATTGTTTTTCTGGAATTCTTAGCAATTAGGCATAGAGATATTACAGGATCAGGTAGAAAGAGCATTTAGAAGGGTGATATATTTCCATTATTCTTAGAAACAAAATATTCATTTATAAGTCCACATTCATGAGAATATGAATCTGTTCTAATACTCAGAAGGAAATCTAAAATGGAAGCTGCAGGTCAAAACTATCACTAAGAAGTAGAAGCTTAATAACATTCTGACTTGGTGTAGCTGTGTAAATGATTTTACTGTAAAGGGCATTTAAGCTAGAATATAATGTAAGGATAGGGAGGCAATCAAGACACACACAAGGACATATTTGGGAACGATACTCAGTTAAGAAAATTATTCAAGTTTGATCTCCACACACTTAGATATAATATGGGCACAGCTTTTTAAAATATATTTTTTATTTATTTCAGACAGAGAAAGGGAGAGGGAGAGAGGGAAACATCAACAGTTGGAGAGAATCACTGATGGGCTGCCTCCTGCATACCCCCTACCGGGGCTTGAGCCTAAAACCTGGCCATGTGCCCTGACTGGGAATAGAACCATGACCTCCTGGTTCATAGGTCAGTGCTCAACCACTGAGCCACACTGGTGGCACAGCTTTTAAAATGAGCAGGGGTTTAAATGAGCAGGGACAATTGAGCAGGGGTTCTTGATCCTTGGAGGTCACAGACCCCTTTAAGACTCTGTTGAAAGCTATGGATCCCCTCCCCAGAAAAATACACATTTATAATTAATACACTCATTTTTGCACATGATTTCAAGGACTTAGATCTTTTGAATCTTAAGTGTGGATATCTCTGACCCATCAACACCAAGTCTTCACTGTATCTTTATTTGTAAAGGAAAAGGTTTATGTACATTTATTTTGCAAGTGAAGAATGCGTTTCTTATAAAAATACTAAAGATTACTAAAGATTGTTAAGTTTAATAAAGATTACTATATATTGGTGCGCTCCTAAGTGCTTTAAATATATAATGTACACAATCCTCATTCCAACTCTAATAGGGAAAGTGTTGTATTGTTATCTCTCTCTCTCTCTCTTTTTTTTTTAAGAAAGAAAACTAAGACACAGAGAGATATCTAAAATCATGTAGGTCGTATGTAATGGAGCCAAGATTTGAACCCAGATATTCTGGCTGAAAAATCTATTCATCACTCTTCTGTACTGCCATATAATACCAAAAACAGAAATTATATAACATGCCAAAAAAGGAAAAGGAAGAATCCCTGTTGTGAATCAGATAATAGAGCAGCCAGCAAAATGTTTACCCTGATCTCCACCCCAAGGTTATTTGAAAATTAGATATTCAAACTGACTTCTGAAACCCCCGGACCAGGACTTGTATTTCTTCTGAAAGACTGCTTACCAGATTACTTTGTTGGACTTTTAAATAGAGTCAGATTAGGTTGTTCTCTTTCCAAAGTACAGTTTGATCAGAAAGTGTTTATATGGAAGGAAAGTGGTAGACTTCATTATTTCTTGGTATGTAGGAATTTTCTCTCTTGATCCATGAAAACTTTCTGTTCAAGTAACATTCCATGTCACACAACTCAGAAAACACTTAAGTAATACTTATAATAGCTATTCCCTTCCTGGTATGATCTGAGTTGTGTGCTGCTTTGAGGTGATGATAGGGAGGGGGCATAGGGCTATCCCCAAAACAGTGTGTGTGGCATCTCTCCATCTGAAGCCCACCTAATATAGTTGATTGATTTGGTTAAGCTTGTTTTATATTATTTATTTTATGTAATGCAAATGTTTAATGTTAAAAGCCAAAAGATCCTCTAGGTTTTGGGGTTTTGTTTTTACAATAAAAAATAAGTATTTATTGGGTACTCGCTATGTGCTAGATTCTGGTATACAAAGAGGTAATAATGGTCCCTGCCTAGAATCTGATATAGTAATTTTCATTCATTCTCTAAATATGTATTGAGTGTTTACTATATTAGGCAATGTAGAGGATAGATTCACAAATAAGACAGAATTTCTGTCTTCAAGAATTTAAAAACTTTAGAAGAGAGGAAGATGAATGAAAACAGCTAACAAAGAAGAAAATGAAAGAGCTGAGAAAATACCAGAGGACAAGTGATTTTGAGAGGAGGGAACAGAGAGTACTTCACAAAGGAGGTGGCATTTGAGTAGGACCTTGACAGATAAGTGAAATTTCAGTGATGAGCAGCGGGAGATAGAGTATCACAGTGTAGGGTGGAGTCAAAAAAGTAAATGCATTCCCGGGGAATAGAAAGGAGGCTGATGTGCCTGGAGTGTGGATTCAGGAAACAGTGGAGAGGGAGATAAAACCATAAAGGGAGGAAGCAATTAGCTTGTGGAAACCCTCCAATGCATGACAAAACTTTTGGGAATTTGGCAGTTATAGAGTCATTAAAGGTTCATGAGGTCAAGAACAAATGAGAAGTTGTATATGGAGTATATTAAACACCTAAGTTCTTTATATTGGTACTCCTCTACGTGTTTTACACAATTCTGGTAACTGGTAAGTAGCAATCAGCATAGGCAGGGAGAAGAAAGTGTTTTATTCTAAATCAGGTTAGCAGGTACCAAAGTATGGGGGAGTAGGAGAACCAGTTCTCTTAATTAACTCCAACTCTAAGTTCTGATTTGTGCATCGGAGTCTCTATGTTTTCAATCAATATCTCATGCTTTGTAGGTATAGAACAATAATAACTGGACAAAAAATAAAAAAATAAATGGAAAGGATTTTGCAGTTAGTGCTTCTTGCCATGTATTTCTGTATTACCTTCTAGTTCATGCAGTTTGGGTTTTGTCTGGATTGAAGAACCCCTTCATGAAATTGTGGGGAAGCTGCATCTTCTCTTGAAAGCAGTCATACTTGGATTGCACCGGCCAGCCACAGACAGCTTCCATTGAAATAACTTTCTTTGTTGGTGGATACCTTTCCTCTCTGTGTCTTTTTTCCTCCTGCCAGAACAGTTCAGAGGTTTTCATTAGGTTTGAATTTCAAAACTCTAGATTCTCTTTGTCATCTAAACTCTAACACTCCAAGATTGGTTTATGCTCTTAATACTTAGAATAGAAGAAGCACTAGGGCAGGAGTAAATATCCAGATAATACCTGTGTCAATACCTGGTGTCAATAAATAGAAAATACATTCTCCAAAACGTTTTACTTGATGCATATAGTCCTGAGTCTTGTGCCTGTGTATAGAAAGAGTTATATAGCTGCTAGAATACATATAGTAAAATGAGCCACAACCATATAAAGTAGAATAAGAATGCTAACCTAAAGATGTTTTTTACGTGTTGCAGTTGATGGTATGTATGTAATTCAGGTGAGTTTGAGATTTACTTGAAACAAGGATGTTTCAGACAAAAGTATACTAACCTCTTTTAAAGCAGTAACAACAAGCACTTTAAAAATCTCATCAGTGAGTTCTGATTAGAGCAGCGGTTCTCCACCTGTGGGTCGAGACCCCTTTGGGGGGTCGAACGACCCTTTCACAGGAGTCGCCTAAGACCATCAGAAAACACATATTGAATATATAATTACATATTGTTTTTGTGATTAATCACTATGCTTTAATTATGTTCAGTTTGTAACAATGAAAATACATCCTGCATATCAGATATTTACATTATGACTCATAACAGTAGCAAAATTACAGTTAAGAAGTAGCAACGAAAATAATTTTATGGTTGGGGGTCACCACAACATGAGGAACTGTATTAAAGGGTCGCGGCATTAGGAAGGTTGAGAACCACTGGATTAGAGCTTCACTTCCATAGCCCATTAGTAGAACTAAGATGGGACTTGCTCACCACTTCAAAAGTTTTTTGTATGTAGATGTTTCAAATTGAAAGATAGAGCTAACATCACACTGAATTAAAAACTTTTATTACAAATAGCTGGTAAAAAACAAACAATATTAAAGGGTCGCGGCATTAGGAAGGTTGAGAACCACTGGATTAGAGCTTCACTTCCATAGCCCATTAGTAGAACTAAGATGGGACTTGCTCACCACTTCAAAAGTTTTTTGTATGTAGATGTTTCAAATTGAAAGATAGAGCTAACATCACACTGAATTAAAAACTTTTATTACAAATAGCTGGTAAAAAACAAACAAAAAAACCCACAAATAGCTGGTAATGTAAAGTCAGTCCTGCTGCACTACAGTAACATTTCTAATGATAACTAGCAGTTAGCTTTTCTTTGGTTTTCATCCCTGATAGAGAGTAGATGGCCTGCTAACCCCTAAAATAAATATGAGTATTCCCCTTTCACTCTCATTTCACATTTCACATTTGAGGAGGCAGTGGCAAGCGGCATAAGCCACTCCTGTGTTGTTGACTCAGAGAAGAGAAACAGAGATTTGGGTGATTTTGATGACAAGGATTAATCAGGATTGCTGATTAGGCTATGATGGGATAGATCGGGCCAGATCATTAAATTTTTGGTTAAAAGAAAAAAAAGCCAAAACCGGTTTGGCTCAGTGGATAGAGCATCGGCCTGCGGACTGAAAGGTCCCGGGTTCAATTCCGGTCAAGGGCATGTTGCTAACCCCTAAAATAAATATGAGTATTCCCCTTTCACTCTCATTTCACATTTCACATTTGAGGAGGCAGTGGCAAGCGGCATAAGCCACTCCTGTGTTGTTGACTCAGAGAAGAGAAACAGAGATTTGGGTGATTTTGATGACAAGGATTAATCAGGATTGCTGATTAGGCTATGATGGGATAGATCGGGCCAGATCATTAAATTTTTGGTTAAAAGAAAAAAAAAGATGTTAAAAGATTAGGTCATACATATATGTGTATATGTGTTTAAGGCAGAAAATGGAAATAAAGAATTGCCTGTAACCAAGCAACTTAATACACAAGTAGTTACATAGACACTGAAATAGAAATTCACAAGGGAATTTGTCCAGATCTGATTCCAGGAGAGTGGGGTCCTGCTCACTGAGCAGCGTTGTCCAACAGAACTTTCCGCACGGGCGGAAATCTCCACCACCCGTTTGGTCGTCACAAGCCACCTATGGCTGCTCAACACTTGAAATGGGCTAGGTGACTGATGAACTGAAGTTTTAATTTTATTTTGTTTTAATGAATTTAATGTAAACAGCCATATGTGGCTAGTAGCTACCAAATTGGACAATGCAAGTGTAAAGAAGAAAAAGGTGGGGTAGTATCAAAGTCAGAACCAACAAGTTGGACCAGATAAACTTCATGTTCCTGAGATGTCTGTACCTTGAGTGACTGACTGGTAGCACTAGATGGATGTGTGTGCCGGGTGCCTGGCTCCTTTACTCCGGTGGGAAGCATAGAAGAACACAGCCTCACAGCTGCAGTAGCCGTCATGGAGCACCAGTCAAGCCCTCTCACCTCCATCCGTCCTCTCATCTATGAGGCTTTTTGAAACTCAGGTGCTTGTTTCCACCTTGTCACGTTTCACTGGATCTCGGTCACTTCTGCAGCAGTTCTCCACAGAAAAGATTATAGGTAGTGACACAGATCCCTTTGGTATCAAGAGCTGGTATTTACTATACTAGTTGGTTTTATTATCTGGTGCTTGGGATTTACTGCCTTTGAGGCAACAATTACACTAATCCTCATATGAGGTTCCCTTCCACCTCTCCAGGGTAACACTCAAAAAAAAAAGAAAAGGGAAAGATACTGTCCTTTTATCCCTGCCTTTTGTCACAGGTGGCAGATCATCAGAATCATATGATGGCTTTCTTCCTATTGATGAGATTGTAGCAATTAAGGATAGTGATAGTGTGTTCCTCATTGATTGGAAACTTCTACAAAATTTAAATTAATTGAGAGCAAGCTAAGAATTAGAAAAGCCAAAAGATACACTCATATTCTGTATCTGTAAACCCACCCCACTCGTTATTGAAAACCTTGTGCCCATATTAGTTGCAGTTATTACTGTGAGCTTAACACTAAATTTGAGAACGCTGGCAAACTAGAAATCGTCTTTCTCTGTAGTAACCGTGTGCTCTATGTACACAAAAGAAATGTTATACTGAGGAACTTGATTGATTATGAGAATTAATTGCTTTGTTTTCTGCTGGGGGTTAGCAGGATATTGTTTAATAGGATCACAGTTCAGTGTCCTAATATCTGTTCTCCGTGTCTCCTAGAAGACTGTAACTACAGCTTCTATGATTACCACAAAGACACTACCTCTCGTCTTGAAAGCAGCAACTGCAACCATGCCTGCCTCTGTTGTGGGCCAGAGACCTACCATTGCTATGGTGACCGCCATCAACAGTCAGAAGGCTGTGCTCAGCACTGATGTGCAGAACACACCAGTCAACCTCCAGACGTCTAGTAAGGTCACTGGGCCTGGGGCAGAGGCTGTCCAAATTGTGGCAAAAAACACAGTCACTCTGGTAAGCCAACAGCTGCTGCTCATGTGTGCCCACATGAGAGGAATATGCATTTATAGAATATATCCATTTTATGCTCCTGCTGGATTTTTTCATCTCCATCACTCTACCCTTTGGGGCTGACTAGGGAATATGGCTTTCCTACTGTCTATTCAAAATTAACTATAGAGGTATCTTGACACCAAAAACCAAAACCCATTCAGTGCATAATTTGAGATCAAAGTCTGACTTGACTTGAAGGGAAAATGCCCTTCACAGAGGCATGCACCCTGTTGCGTGTTCCTCTCCCTCCTGTCCACGGCCCTGCCTGTGAAACTTGAGTGCTGAGACTCTGGTGCCATATTACTGATTTTGGGAAACTCCCTGCTGGATTCTTATAGTTCACTATACCTTGAAATTATCACTCACGAAGTACTGGACAAAATTGTTCATGAGATTTCTAGGATAAACCATTTGGAAACTGATGTCCTCATAATCTTGGGGAAGGATATCCAAATTGTGTTTTAAAAGTTTGCTCCTAAAATGGCAGCTAAGAGTTCGTGGTGGCTTTTGAAGGATGACCAGTGATGAGTGAAACTAGAGAGCAATGACAGGAAGCTTCACCACTTAAACCCAGGAATCTTTAGAGAAGCAACCAGATAACTCAGCCAGGTGCTGAAGTGAGAAACTTCTCTATGGGAAGAAAGGCATTCTCTGTTAGACAAAGCTCTGTGTTAGGAAAGGGCCCATTTGGCCAGGAGGCAAGTTTGATTTTACTTTGGATCCAGTCTTGACTTTTAAAATACTTAAGTGCAAAAGTTCTTGAGTGACAAAGGAAATTGCCTAAGCTTGCTGAGCCTGCATGTTCCATATTAGGTATGTGAGGGAACAAATGTGATTAGTTCACTCTGTGGGGTAAAGCATGCAAGTGGGAGAGTGTTAATTCAGGTGGTTAATTCTATAGTGAAAGCACATAGAAAATATTGTCTGATGCAGAGAACAGTGATGCTTTGATATTGAACATTTATTGTCCCCTCTGATTTACTTATCTTTCTCATTTTTTAGCAGGTTCAGGCAACACCTCCTCAGCCCATCAAAGTACCACAGTTTATCCCTCCTCCTAGACTCACTCCACGTCCAAACTTTCTTCCACAGGTGAGTGAACCACTGACAAGCCAATAAGGGTTAGGTGGACAGAAATCCTTGAGGGCCTGTAATGCTCTTGTCAGATCAACTGTAGACAGATCCCTCTTAGCTAAAGATTCCAGCTGATGATTTCTATATCATGACGAAGCTTATTTTATCATTGTAGTTTCTTAACAGTGACCAATGGCAGTAGCAGGGGGATGTAAGGAAAGGAAATTTTCCTAAATTTAATTAAGATAACACTATTTTAAACCTTATAATGTTAACTTACTGGAAGAAGTTAGCCAAGACCTACCTGCCAGTGGGGAAGGAGTATAAATACCACTTTCCCTCCCTATTTGCCAAAGAGAGCAGGGAAGGAAACAACAGCCAAACTAACTAGTAGAAACCATTCAGTTCTACTCTGGAAAGTGATGGCACTGAACACCACACTTAAACACAAAGCCGTGCTTATGAGGATTTAGACTTCAGGTCTACACAGCTTGCCCATCTTCTCTTGAGAGCATTCCTAGCAATTGGGCTGAACTCACCATTCTCATGGCAGAGTGTCGGGATTGCCCCAACTGGGTCTTGAGGGGAGTTGATTTGCCTGATGGAAAGGTTGGGAATTCCTATCTGAGGCCCCAGGTTTCAGGCAAAGAGAGAAGAGAAAGGAGTTTTGTGGTCAGTTGCCATAGGTGATTTCTGAACTGCCTATATGATTTTAACCATTTATCAGATAAAGTCTTTTTATAAAACTGTTTTCTTTTTAATTGATTTCAGGGAGAGGAAGAGAGGGGTAGAAGTATCAATGATGGGAGAAAATCATTTATCAGCTGCCCCCTGCATGCCCCCACTGGGGATCAAGCCCCCAACCCGGGCATGTGCACTGATTGGAAATCTAATCGCGACTTCCTGGTTCCTGAGTTGATGCTCAACCGCTGAACCACACCAGCCAGGCTATCAGATAAATTCTTAATAAATACCTTGTGTTTCAAAAAAGGCACTACCAGTCAACACTATGGATATGCCAGTTTTCAAGACAGCCAGTTCCCTGCCCTCAGAGAGCTTCAGACACATTATGGGCAATTACACTGTCTGTTAGGGAGGGATACCCAACTCCTCCTTAAGAATATTACAGAACATTGCCTTGAAGAGTTGACATTCTATCTGAAACCTGAAGTCCTAATAAAGTCAGCCTGACAAAGTTTGGGGGGAAGAATAAAAATGCTCCAGGCTAAGAGCAGAACATACACGCAAGTCTGGGTTGGAGAAATGTATGGAAGCTTAAGGAACCAGATGCAATTCGGTGTGGCTGAGACAGTGGGCCTCAGGCTAGAGTAAGCAGTGGGGCTGGAGAAGCCCATTGGGCCAGAGCCTGGGGAGCAATATAGGCTGTGTCAGAATTTGGGCCTTATCCCAGGAACAGCGGGGAGCCATGAAAGCATTTTCAGACAGGTACTTGGCATGATCAGATTTTTGTTTTAGAAAATTCCTCCTTGCCACTGTGTGGAGAATAGATTAGAGGTGGTCAAGCCTGTGGGAGGAAGAACAGTTAGAATACTGTCAACAATAGAGAATATTGCTACCTGCCACTGACTGTAGCACTGTACGTGGGTTATCTATTTTAATCCTCACAGCAACCGTATGAAAGTAGGTGTTGCTCTTTTTTAGGTGAGGACTCTAAGGCTTAGTCCATGTTTTTTAAATGGTGGATTATGCCTCATTAGTTGGCTGTGAAGTCAATTTAGTGGATTATATGCACAGTTTTTAAATAAAATGAACAAAACATAATAGAAAATACTAGAGTACATAGCACATAAGGATTGTTTCATGAAGTTTTTATTTTTAGAGACAGAGATATATGTCTGTGTGTGTATACTGGTTACAGTGTGAAATGTATTTCCTACTATATGACTACAGCACCTACCACAGGGTCACCTTAAATTAAGCTGAACATTCAGACTCGCCAGGGGCCACACTTGGCAGCAGTCTACTTAGAACGATGCAGGACAGAAACCAGCTCTTTCTCAGCATCAGACATTTTTCTTGAATGCGCATCCCTACAGTAGCCCATATGCAGTCTCCACAGCTGCTCAGGGGTGGGGAAATCAGGGCAGTGGGAGAGCCACTCCGCCATAGAAACCTTATGCCTCACAGAAGCCAGTGTATCTTATAACAATTCCATAGGCATGGTTTTCAAGGTCCCTGCAATGGACATGCCCAGTTATAAGCATGACCCCACTTTGGGAAACCCAAAGTATGGTGTCCCAAGTATTTATAAATCTTGCCATTAAGATTCGATTTAGCAATAACGGGTCATTTTCACCATAAGCAATGTTGCCTGGTAACATAGTTGATATTCTTATCTTTATTGGGTTTTCAGGAAAACAGAACTGGAGAGTTAACTAAAGGTCGAACTATAATACATAAGAGGAAAGGATTTTGCCCATAAGGTCACAGTTTAGAAAGTTTGAAAAATACTGGCTTAGAAAGATTAGGTATGTTGCCTAAGGTTATACAGCTAGCAAGTGGTAGAACCAGGGTTTGAACCCAGGCAAGGCTGACCCATGTTTTTAATTAAATTTCTGCCACTGTTTAAGTAAGCCAAACATAGGGAAAAGTAATGGCAGTGAGAAGAGAAAGTAGGACATATTTGAGAAGGATTTAGGAAGTTGAGATGGAGGAGGAAACATCAAGAATTGTTCTGAAGTTTATTTAGGAAAGAAATGAAAATTTACTGAGGTGATGATTATAAGAGGAAGAGAAGGTTGAAGGAAGGAATTAATGAGTTTTAGATACGTTGATTTTGAACTTCTTGTGAGATTTCCAAGTAGAGATGTCTAGCAGGCAGTTGAATATGATTCTGAAATTTAGGAAATGTCTGGTTCTAAGATACAAGTGCGGAAGTCTTCAGTACATTGATGGTATCTGAAGCCCCAGGGTGGATGAGAGCTCCCAGGAAGAGTGAGGACACTGGGAAGAAAGGTTCCAGGACAAAATCCCAAAATACACTTACATTTAGTATTAGACAGAGGAAGAGGAAGCCCACAAAGGAGACTGAGAGAAGGGGTGGCCAAGATGGGGGTTAGAGGGTCAGAGATGGGGGTGAACTGAAGTGTGGATAGGAAGAAATTTAGAATGTGAATTAAGGCCATTGGCAGCATTATTACCATACTCTGGGCACAAGTTCTGGGTGAGACCAGTCTCTGGATTGGGCATTTGACCTCAGCCTGAAGAGACGGCATATATAAAAGAAGGAGCTAGGTTTAGAATCAGAAGAACTGTGTTCTAGGGTAGCATTTGGACCCTCTAAAGAGCTGATGAGTATTTTATAAGATTATGTATCCTGAGTTCTATAGAAATAATACAACCAAAGTGAACATTAATATTTGTACTAAATAACATTTCACATATATAGTGTGGACGATCTGATAATTACTTAGACTTATAGGAAGTTTCTGTAAGTAATATGGTAATTGTTCTCTCTTTCCCCATAGGTTCGACCCAAGCCTGTGGCCCAGAATAACATTCCTATTGCCCCAGCACCTCCTCCTATGCTTGCAGCTCCTCAACTTATCCAGAGGCCTGTTATGCTGACCAAGTTTACCCCCACAACCCTCCCTACCTCCCAGAATTCCATCCACCCCGTCCGTGTCGTCAATGGGCAGACTGCAACCATAGCCAAAACGTTCCCCATGGCCCAGCTCACCAGCATTGTGATAGCTACTCCAGGGACCAGACTGGCTGGACCTCAAACTGTACAGCTTAGCAAGCCAAGCCTTGAAAAACAGGTACAGGCAAGAGTATGCACCTGCTTTGGGCATTAGCCTTGCCATTGAGGCTAGGTTATCTCTAAATACATCTTCTCAAGGGCTCTTTACCTCAGTACCATTGTCAATGACCTGTTGCTTATCATGTGATAATTTATTTAAAATGCAAAAGGGCCATTCTTACTGAAGAAAGTTGGATTACTTTTTCCATTATCTCCTTATAGATGGATTCATAGTTCTGTGTGAATGAGCTCCCCCTGCTGGTTATGAAGCAAAAATTCACAGATGGGTTCTGCTACGGTCAGTCAGGAGGCACAGAGGAGATAGTAAACAGAAAATCCCATATTAGTTTTGGCCCAATAAGAATCCAGATGAAGATGGGACTATGAATGGCAGGAAGAATAAACTTCAAAGTTTTCTCCTGGTTATTACAGATAATGAAGAGTCAAATGAAAAAAATTACAATTTCTAAAAGGTATTCTTTTAACTCGAAAGGATTTTAGTTCAAATATTTTAGCCTTTAATTTATATTTCTAAAAACAGATGTTCTCTTAAAAACATGAGGCTAGAGAAATACAGGTAACCTTCAAAAATACTAAGGGTTCTATGACAGAAAGACTTTTAAAAACAAGAAAACAGATTTATTTATAGGCAGTCACCATATATTCTATTTAAAGAAAAACCAGTGATGATAAAGAAGAATTTTGCAAAGAAAAGCATCCTCTTTCAGAAGTTGATTTAAAAAGTCATCTAATTGCTCAGGCTTGAGTTCTCATTCACATGAAAATAGTCTCTGGTGATCCTGAAGCTTGTGCGTCTGGGTGGCTGACTGTGGTTCAGAGAGGCCGGCCAGATGGCGGGGATGAGAAGGCTTCCTGTTGCCTTGCCTTCTTGAACAGGAACTGTGCGCATGGAGAGCCCAGCTCATCACTGCAGCAGACCTAAAAGGCTGGGTACCAAAATCTTGTACTCAGACAACGCAAGAAAGAACATATCTCTATTCCTTGGTAGCCTACTCAAACCCCAGGAAATGCTTTGAGGAACATTCAGAAATAAATTACTTGCACATATTTTAGGTCAGAAGTTTTCAAACTTATTGTCAGCGGAACTTCAGCATTAAAATCTTGAATGTAGAATGCTCAGCTTAGGAGTCTGGGCAGAGGCATATTTGACAGTCATCTGGCCTTGTGTACAGGGATGGCTCTCAGAGTACCTCTGAGGACCCTTAGAATTATAAAGGGTGTGGTTTCAAAACACTATTTTAGATTGCTAAATATGATTTCTCTTTGACCTCTTTTTTCATAAAGAAATTTTTAGGAGACAAGAATTTTTTCAGTTTTATTTTATTTTTACCCTTCTTTTTTTTCTGGTTACAAAGATAATACATATTCATTGTAAAAGAAAAATTCAGACATTACTGAAATATATGTTGTAGCAAGTGCATCCCCCATAATTTATGAAGAGAGTAAAATTTGCCCATAATTTACCCCTCCCCAAAGTTGCTATTAACAGTATAAGTTACATTCCTCCACATATTTTCTGTGTGTATACTAACATTGTAAAAGCAAAAAAAAAAAATCATTATATATTATTTTGTAACTTGCTCTTTTTCTTATTAGAGCTTGAATGTCTTTTTGTTTCTGGCCTTACACATTGATAGAGATTTTAATTTTAATATCATAGAAAGGTACCCATGAATTCTTTTTTTAAACATTCTTTCCTAGTGGTAAATTCAGTGGTTTATCTTCTTGTTGACCTAATAGAGGACTCCAGTTCATTACCGTTTAGTAGGATACCTGGCATAGCAGTCTTACTGGTTAACAAGCTCAGCAAGGATGCTCTTTGTGTTTTTTTATCCAGTTCTGAGATACTTGTACTCTACAGTGTGAGAGAGAGAACTTGGACCCTGGATAATTCCTTGGTGGAGAGGAATTGGTTTGTCCTTCCCTGGAGGCATTACCACTCCATGCTTTTGCAGCCTTAGAGATGGGCGTGAGAGACCTCAGGAACTTCACCGTCTCGAGTGGAGCAGCAACCCTTCCAGTTGACCTTCTTGTCTCCCTCCTCCCTCAGACCTCTGTCCTTCCACATTAAGAGAGCTATGGGCACCCAAGACCTTTAAAATGTCATTATAAACTGCTTTCCCATGTGTTCCCTTGTAGGTGTGTTTGGTGGTTTGTTTTGTGGAGTTAGTGTGTCCTTTTTGGTTCAAAGTGAGTGGTATGAGAGAGAGGAGACACAAGTGGCTCTCCTGAGGGTCATGTTCCCCACAGGAGATCAGCGTCTCTTTACAGTGCACCTGCTCTACATGGGGCACTGTACTAGGCACAAAGGGTGCAAAAGTGTGTTGAACAATCCCTGCTCTCAAGAAGCGTGTAGAAGAGGAGGAAATAGGACAAGATGCTGGTTAAAAAAAAAAAAAGACAAGGCAGTATTTGTACCCAGAAACAGATGCTTACACTTTCTCAAAGTAATATGAGAAACAAGGAAGATATGAAAGTAGCCAGGAAAAAACGCGAAAGACCTTTGTGATTGTGTAAAATGTTTTACAGCATAATGGTTTTTGAGAACTTCTGATGTTCTGCCTGTAGGACTGAAGTCTTTCATTTGGCTCCCGCTCATCAATAATCAGTTTCATTCTCACTTATTTAATTACTTATTGTTGCCATATAAAAAGACCATTGGCATCTGCTTTTTTAATTTTGAAAAAGTAAATTAGGTGTGTGTTTAGTGTTTCACCCACTGTTCTAGCATTATTTCAGGGTTTATAGAGGGCTTCATAAAGTGAATTAGCCATTGGGTCATGGTAAGAATAGTAACGCAAGCCCAGTCTACCAATTTGCTAGCTGCCATTTGTGTCTGAAGATGATAATGCTGCTGGTGTTTCTTTTGTGTGAATGGATGCCTTTGGAAAATGAGGTTGCCAGTAATCAGGATGTCAGCCTCTTGCGAGATGACCTTTCCTTGGCAATTGCATCTCCCTAATGGGTGATGCAGACGGGTTTTAAACATCCCAAGTGAGGGTACTTCTGCAGCCTCTCTCGGATTGTAATTAGAAATGTTCTGAAATAGAAGTGCGTACATGTAAGAGGTTTTTTTTACATCACTCAGATCTTAAGCATGCTGTGGACTAGAGCTTGACCCATATGTAACAAGAGTGTGCTTGCTTTTGGTAAACTGCCCCTACATTCTAAAATGCATTAAAATCAGAGAGAGCTGCCTATATTTTATTTTTATACATAGGAATTAAGCCTTGGCTTTTTCTTTTTTTTTTAATATATTTTATTGATTTTTTACAGTGAGGAAGGGAGAGGGATAGAGAGTTAGAAACATCGACCAGCTGCCTCCTGCACACCCCCTACTGGGGATGTGCCCGCAACCAAGGTACAAGCCCTTGACCGGATTCAAACCTGGGACCCTTCAGTCCACAGTCCGACGCTCTATCCACTGAGCCTTTTTTACAGAGAGGAAGGGAGAGGGATAGAAAGTTAGAAACATCAATGAGAGAGAAACATCGACCAGCTGCCTCCTGCACACCCCCTACTGGGGATGTGCCCGCAACCAAGGTACAAGCCCTTGACCGGATTCAAACCTGGGACCCTTCAGTCCACAGTCCGACGCTCTATCCACTGAGCCAAACCGGTTAGGGCGGCTTTTTCTTTTTGTATAATTTAAACGGTTGTATTTATAGATTCATATTTACTCTAGTTATACAATTTAACCACTTCAACTGGGCCTTACATTTTACATTTCTTCCAAAATGAAGTCTATATTACCTCCTTTATTACTGTTTCCAGATTGAGAATGTTTTTCTTTCCTTTCTTGTTGACTACAGTCAAACTGTGTTTGTTTTCATTCTTTAATAAAAAGTGAATTCTGAATTCTCATTTAATTTTCTTCTCCTAGACAATTAAATCTCACACAGAAGCAGATGAGAAACAAACAGAGAGCCACACCATCACTCCACCTGCTGCACCCAAACCAAAACGGGAGGAGAACCCTCAGGTAGGTCCAGCTCCCCACAGGCGTGGCTCAGTCTAGGAGACTGGCTTATTCTCACACACCAGCAGGGACACTTGCTCCTGAACACTTTGTCTTTTCTTTTGCTTTCTCACTATTCAGTAATGTTACTTCCAAGTTAGGTTGGCCTAGGGCAGATAAAGAGTATGGCCTTGAGTGTCCATGAGCTGGCATACCGGCATTTTGTACACATACCACAAATTTGAAATGTAAGATTGGGGATCATTTTACCAGCTATCCTATTGCACTCCTAATAATCACTGTGTTTATTTGTCTCAGCCAACATTTATAAGCTGTTCCGTTCACTCAGCTAAGGTCTATTTACGTTATCGATTACAGTTGTCACATTTGCTTTTTGTTGTTACTGGTGTATTGCACTAGATTTCCAAATCCCAGATGAACCAGTAGCTGAAAAGTAGTTCATCGAAGCATAGAAGTAGGGATGAAAAGAGTAACATCTGTACCACAACTTAGGATAGAATTCTAAACTAAATAGCAAACAAGACTCTGGTACAAACATAGAATGTGAATTCATATGTCCTTAGACAAGAGAATTTTTAAGTTTGATGATTTAGCATAAGCAGCTATAAAATAAAAATTGGACAGGTGATCTGATGATGAATATCTGAAAGTTGGATTTTATTAGACTGGTGATTTTCTTCTGTCCTCAGTGCATTCTCTGTAATGAAACCCTGTCAGATAGTAGCATGAAGCCATCAAAGCTGCATGTCATTAAGAAAAACAGAACTATGATTTATTAAGCCAGGAAGGTTTTTCTAAAACAAGTATAAATGATAACTCTTTCTGATATGAAATGGATTAATTTTTAATGTATCTTAAAGGAGGGACCAAAACTTGAACCAAATTGCTGAGAAACTTGTAAAATCATCCATAAAATTTAAAAAGTATAATAGTTGGAGAGAAAAAAAAGAGTAAGCTGTTAGCAGAATTTCCTTATCAAGAGAAATTAAAGAATATCTTATGTCAGTGCATGGTGTAGGCAAGCAGGTACCTGCCATCATAGGTAGCAGCAGGTATTTTACCTTCTGGTTGGGCAAAATTACTGCCATAAAGAGGCAGTTGGTTCTTGGCACATGTGTGATACATAGATGAGACAAAAGTTCTTGACAACTTTTTGTTTTGTTTATCACTGAAAATCTGTTCCACAGGAGAGGATTTTTTTAATTTAATAATTCTTTCATGAACTCTCAGTCTAGACTGGCAGAGATGTGTTGGACGTGAGTAGCCAAGAAGGGCGCAGTCACGGGATTAAAAGAAAGTGCATCTGAATGTCAGTCCTCACACTGCTTTAACAGAGAGCAGTTGCTAGACAGCCTTCTAATCTTGATTACGTTTTGAAGGAATAGTGGGAATTAGGAATGTAGTTATTTTTGGCAGCCATAAAATGTATGCCATTTCAATATACAATGTGGAAAATGGGCAGCAAGTCCAAGACTGCTTTTCCCTGCCAAAGAACTCTGGCTGTTGGAGGGAGAGGTGCCCACCTAACTTTGGAATAAGAAATAAAAACATTTCTTCAAGATTCTGAGATAATAGTAAAGGGCATTTCTGTTCTCCAGTGCCTGCCTCAATGACCGTATTTTCATAAAACGCTCTCTTGGGTAGCCTGAACCTGTCACATCTGGCCAAAATACCATGATATTTAATGTTGAGGATGAAATGTCAGGATTTTTTAAGATTGAACTGTGGTATAAATAATTCTATAGGAGTATGTCTCCTAGCAATGGATGATATTCTTTATTCACCGGCAAAAAAAAAATTGATGATGCACTCTTTGGCATGTATAGTGCCCACATGCAGTGGTACAGTGGAAAATGGAGACATACTTTCCAGACCTCATGCAACCAAAGAGCAAAGTAGGCATCAATTTGTTGCTTTCTCCAACTTTAAGCATCTGATGTGTCAGCTGTAAGGTGCAATATCCTAATCAGTCTAGTCAGAGAAAAATCGCTCCATGTTTTTAGGCCCATGTTTGAATGAAAAATCATAGTGTTAAGCAGAGCACCTGCTATCATTCCTGAAACTCATTTAGCTTTGAGTTAGCGTTGTCCAGTCAGTGGTAGCAAAATGTAAGAAACCCTGACTTGACATGACAAGTAAAGGCCTAGTCATGACAAGTAAACTACTTAGAATTTTTAGCTTGTTGTATAGGAGGCTCTGCATGTTTTTCGAATATGAAATCCTCTTCTAAGAGGATTTTTAAAAATATTTTTATTGATTTTTTTTAGAAAGAGAGGAAGGGAGAGGGAGAGAGAGAAACATCGCTGTGAAAATGAAACACTGATTGATTGGCTGCCTCCTGCACACCCCCTACCAGGGATCAAGCACACAACCCGGGCATGTGCCTTGACTGGGAATTGAACCGGCAACCTCTCAGTGCACGGGATGACATGTAACCAACTAAGCCTCACTGGCCAGAGCTCTAAAATGATTTTTTTTATGAAAGAAAAAAATATTGGGCCACTCAAAATGCTGATTTCTGCCATTGAGGAAGTAGAAGATGTAGGCCCTTGTCCTTCTCTTTTGGTCCCTGTGAGACAAGGAAGCGGTGGAGTGGCTTCATAGCTGTTAAGAGTGGAAGATGCCCCACTCTTTTTCACCTGAACCTGGCCTCCTTCAGGCCACCAGCCCATTGGGCTGCCTTTCTCTAGAATTCTAGTTGGGAACATGTGATTGGCTTTGTGAGAACCCAAACTGAAGCATATTCATCTTTTGTTTCTCTGGCACAGAAACTTGCCTTCATGGTGTCTCTAGGATTGGTAACACATGACCATCTAGAAGGTAAGAGAAGATATTCATAATGTTGCCTTGCTTCTGGCCCAGAGCTTAGTTCTTGAAAGTGGTGTTTTATTGCTAGAATAGAAAACTGAAAACAAATAGAGTATCATGTAGTCAGTGTGGACTTTGTTTCCTTTTAGAGTAAAATTGGCTAATGTTCAGCCCGCCCCTTCCTTTCACTTTGTATCCACACTGCTGTCCTGGGCAGACCACCCAGTTGCCTGGATTAAGGTGACTTCCGCTCACTTAGGGAACTTTCTCCCCCAGACAGCATGGAGTAGCACATGCCCCCCTGACTTTGTATTTTTCAGTCCTCTTGGTTATTAGAATCTTAAGGACAGTTGCAAAGCTACACCTGTGTTGGTTACTTAATTGAAGAATGGTGAACTATGGTTGCTCAATCTAGGTCTGTGGATAAAGTTCATCCACACCTATGTCACGGTGATCTAAAAATAAACCAGGACAGCTTGTTCACAAGCGTTGTCTACCATTAAGCATGCGGTCACAGAGAGCCTCCCAGGGGACAGCGTGGCCTTGCTTCCCGAGAGGTGAGAGTAGACGTCCTGCGTGTGTGCTCCCAGCAGTGTGCTTGCCTCTGCTGAGGCTGCAGTGAAACCGAGAGGCTGGCCCCATCTCTAATTTGTCTGGGAAAACCCATAGTTAAAATAATGAAGTTAAGTTGTTGAGGTTCCCTGTACCTCTCTTCTAATTTAAACCTTTTGCTTTCCCAAGAAATCCAAAGTAAGAGGCAAGAGCGAAAAAGAAGAACAACAGCAAACCCAGTGTACAGTGGAGCGGTCTTTGAGCCAGAGGTACTCCTGGCCAGCCTGGCCCTTCCCTCGCCATTCACTTCACTTATGACTTATTCAGCACCTCCCGTTGGAAACCTGGTTGTACTTACCCAGCTTTGTAAAGTGATGATTTTTCTCTGGCTGATCCCATTATTTCATTTTTATTATTCGTTGCTTTCCCCTTAGTTTTTGCTTACATTTGAACAGATACAAACCTTCCTTAAAAATTTAACTCACCCTGGCTTCAACACAACTGTCATCTGGAGCAGAGGGAGACCTCCCTGGAGTATATGTAATAAAATCCCTTAGCACTGATACCTTGGGGTGACTGGCACTAACTAGTTGGCATGTTGACAGGCATACTGTGCTTGGTCTTTAGCTTTTGCCAGTATTAGTAGTAACCATGCTATTCAACCATCACATTTCCTTCTTCAACCCTCAAAGCGTAAGAAGAGTGCAGTCACCTACCTGAACAGTACAATGCACCCTGGGACCCGGAAGAGAGGTGAGTACCTTTTATATCTCTCCCTTGCCTCTTGCCTTTGCTTTCTGTGTTGTTTCTTCCCTTTCCCCTAGAAAATAGTTTTGTTGTTGTTATTCTCTGAGAAGGGGGGAAAAGAGAGAGAGATTTCCTGTTAGAGTTGTGTATACTGAGTTGAAAGCGGCCTTTCCTGGGATTCCAGCAAGGCTGCCTCAGGGGAATGGCTTCCTGCAGCATTTCTGCCCCCAGCCCACCAGGCTGTCCCTGAATATAGCACAATGAACAGAACACGGTGCAAAAGGAAGCATTTTAGCGTCACTGAGCAGCACAGAGCCCCGCTGTTGCCAAGGTGCTCTTAGTCGTGTCTGAGTCATCCCTCTGCAGGAGAAACCGGAGCATCACTTAAGTTTCCGTGTGCTGCAGGCTTTCCAGGAAAGAGAGAAGTAGCCACACTGAACACTTAGAATCTGTGAGAAGAAAAGGTCACTGTCAAGCAGGCTTTCGAAAGCAGGAATTTTTAAAGAGCTTCCTCCCGTGTTTTAGACCTCCCCAGGGCAGGCGCTGCACCTCCTCTTAGGGCCGAGAGGACAGCAGCAGCAGTCTCACTGTGCGGGTCTAAATAGGGCTTAATAGCTCAGAGTTGGAGCTCATAAACAAGGTTCTGAAATTGTTCTTTGATGTCAGTAATACATCCCAAGGTCCCTTTCTCTGCATGATAATGTGTCCCTGAATTACAGTCCAGGCTAGAGAGGTTGCAGCGAGTGGAGGAGCATACTAATGTTCGCGTCTGCACACACAGCCTCAGCTGCTGGGAGCCTAGGAGGTCATCCTGACCCTTTGTCTGCCTTAGGGAGGCTGCAGCCACACCACGGCCGCCTCCGCCCGCAGAGAGTGTACCCACCCTGAGTGACCGGTTCTCATGCTGCACCCGCCCCATCCTTCAAGTGATCAAAATATGTAGATGAGAAACCCGAAGCCATTGCTTCATACTAGTTCCTGGGCCACAATAATCAGTGTCATGGATTATTTTTTGTTTTTAGCAATTTTTAGTGACCTCTTACACAGTTCTCAGAAAGGAGCCCCCAGCCAGAAGCCACAGTTAATTGGCCTGCTGGTGGGCTGGTTCTGCTAAAAGAAAAGGGGTTAAATGAGCCAGAAAGACCTTGGCATCTTTTGCCAAGGTCAGAGGATGAAAGCCTGCATCTACAAGCCTAGGATATGCCTTCTGTGGGTAAACAAAGAGCATTCATCTTCCACTTCTCCCCGCAGCACTATTTCCCCAGGAAGACACACCAGTATGACCTGTCTTTGTACTGCAGACATCCCCAGTCTAACACACATAAGTGATGTTTGTGTATGTCTGACAGAATCAGCATTCCTGTGCATGGTTTTGATATAAATTGTAACTGTTGGCAAAGTCACGATCTGCCTGCCATTACCAGTGTTCGTAGGCAGTTGTGCACCTCTCTGGCTCTTTTTTCCCTGTTGTGTTCTAGGCATTCACTTTGTTCACTCACAGCTTCGGAGTGTGACCCTGACTTAGACATGTCAGGCAGGAGTGGTTGGCCTGGACTTGCCACACCCACATGGTCATTTATGATCCTCTGTAGCATGAGGTGTGATGCAGATGCTCCTACTCATATCAGGCCTCTCAGTTAGCAGTGTTGCTGATGACGGCCTTCCTGAGACTGGCTCAGCCCAGTCCTGAGACCTGTGGGTCACCAGAATGTGGTAGAAAGTGGGGAGACAATTCTCGACCAACTAGGGAGAACACTTGAGTCCAGACCTACTTAAATTCATATTTAAACTCAGGACATCTTTTTAGCTCTTGGGTTCCAGCTACCCCTTGAACATCTCTCTCGCTAGCTGTAGCAGCAAGGGGTAGGAGTAGTTAACTTGAATTTTGTCTCCTTGCTTCACCTTTCTCTACCCTTATAGGCAGTGAAATGACCAAAATATAGGCAGGTGAGAAAAGGAAAAGCAGAAATCCTAAATAAATCCATTTGTGGGAGCCGAGAATCATTAATATAAGAAGAATGATGGTTGCAGAGAAACTTTAGTGAACAATATGCAAAAGATATGGGAAAGTAAAGTAGATTCATATTTCTGGCCTTGGCTCCCTGTAAGCTTTGGTTCTCGCCTGAGAAATCAGATGTCACAGTCCAGGAGCCTCACTGCTACCTGCCAAGGCAAGGCCCTTTAACACGACCCAGCATCTCTGTCATTCTGCAAGTCCTCTCTTCTCCTCCCTTCTTTTGAGACTCAGGCAGTTTCTAATGACATTTAAATCTTAGCTTCTCTTCCTGTCTTTGGGACTGTTGTATTAACCTTCTGTCTGCTACCTCACTTCCTTTTCCATGCTAGCCAATGAGGAACACTGGCCAAAGGTATGTAAGATCATTTTCCCCCTCTCTTCCCCCCACCCCTTTTCCCCTTTTGTTCCCTTCTCTTGGCATATAGGTCGTCCTCCAAAATACAATGCAGTGATGGGGTTTGGAGCCCTTACCCCAACATCCCCCCCATCCAGTCATCCTGACTCCCCTGAAAATGAAAAGACAGAGACCACATTCACTTTCCCTGCACCTGTTCAGCCTGTGTCCCTGCCCAGCCCCACCTCCACAGACGTAAGTAACGTGGGAAAAGCTCCCTGTCTCTGAGAGCCTCACTGGGGAAACATTGTCCTGTGTTGTCTCCTCCAGCAGCATCACCCTGACTAACCCGGGAAAGCAGGGACCCCGACAGGACACTATGCCGGGAAGGCAGCTCTGCTGAGGCCCAGGTCCTGCTGTGTTCTTGGGACTCATGCTAAATGTCAGGAGGCTCAGTAGTTTCCGGAGGCTACATTTGATGTGCCGTGAAGGAGTTCTCAGGAAGGTGTGGGGTGGGAAGTCAGCTCACGTCCCTGCAAGGTGTACAGGTTTCTATCATCAGGTTTTGGAGGTGGGGGAATGAGCAAGGTGGACGTTCCCTTAGCAATTGTTGCCTGCTTCAAGTGGAATTCAAGAAGTGGAAACTTTGCCGTAGAGCAGCTATATTCAGCAGAGTTGGTTAGAAATAGGTTCCAGAAAGAGTGTCAAATACTCAGTAGTTCTTCACCCAGAAACTGCAGGAGTGTCACCAGTGCCCTACATTTTTAAATGAGCATTTCCAAAGCAGTGACTTCACACAGCAAATACTTAGTGAGCGCTTCTCTGCTGAGCAAGTGCTGTTCTTGAGGCTGGGATAGAACAGGAACAAAACCAGCTTCCGCCCTAGCTGGTTTGGCTCAGTGGATAGAGCGTCGGCCTGCGGACTGAAGGGTCCCAGGTTCGATTCCAGCCAAGGGCACATGCCTGGGTTGCGGGCTCTATCTCCAGTGGGGGATGTGCAGGAGGCAGCCAATCAATGATTCTCTCTCATCATTGATGTTTCTATCTCTCTTTCCCTCTCCCTTCCTCTCTGAAATCAATAAAGATATATTTAAAAAAAAAACAAACCCAGCTTCCTGCCCTCATGGAGCTCATGTTGCACGGTGGGAGGCAGGTGATACGCAGATGAACATATAATGTGCCAGGGAGTGATAAAGCTGTGGGAAAGTGAGACAGGTGAGGGGCATAAGGGGTTAGGGCAGGAGGTTGCTCTTTTATGAAGATGCTGAGAGGGTGGGGGGGAGAGCACTCTGTAAAGAGGGAACAGCAATGCAAAAGCCCTGAGGTAGAAATGTACATGCACGAAGAAAAGAGGCCAAGACGGCTGGGCAGTGAGCAGGTGCGAGTGGTGGGGATGAGACCCCAGAGGTGGCAGGGTTTTTGACTTTTTATTGTGAAAATGCCAAACCTACAGAAAAGTTACAGTAACAATACAAGGAATAGATGTATACCCTTCACCTCGATTGACCAGTTGTTATCATTTTGCCACATATGCTTCTCTCTTCTACACACACATATACACACACTTATACATACACACATACACACACACACATATATATAAATATATACACATACATACACACAAACTTTTTAAAAATCCTTAACCAAGGATATGCTTATTTAGAGAGGAATAGAGAGGTGAGAGAGAAACTTTGATCAGTTCCTCCCGTAAGTGCCCCGAGAAGGGATTGATCCCCTGACCTAGGTATGTGCTCTGACCAGGAATCAAACCCACAACCTTTTGGGGTCTGTGATGACATTCCAACCAACTGAGTCACTCTGCCAGGGCCACACTTTTTTTTCTGAACTAGTTAAGAAATTGTAGGCATCATGAATCTTCACCCCAAATGCTTTGGTTTATATCTCCTAAGAATAAAGATATTCTCTGATATAGCCACAATACAGTTATCAGATAGAGGAAATTTAATATTGATAAAAGGTTATTATACAATATACAGTTCATATTCAGCTTCTCAATTTGTCTCGAATATTGCCTTAGTGGCACTTACATTTTTCTGCTTCAGGATCCAATTCAAGATCACTCTTGCATTTCTTGTCTCTTTAGCCTCCTTACTCTGGACTAGTTTCCCATCTTTTCTTTGTCTTTCATGGCATTGATGTGTTTAGAAAGATTGGCCAGTTGCTGTGTAGGGTGTCCCTCCATTTGGATGACCCGATTGTTTCCTCAAGAACAGATTGGAGGCTGCATTTCTGTAGGAACACGAAGTAAGCGGTGATGAGTCCTCAGTGCATCGCAGCAGGAGGCACGTGCTGTCAGTCTGTCCCCTTGTTGGTGCTGTTAACGTTCATCCTTAAAATAGATCCCATCGAATGTCTCCACTTGTACAGGCACCTGTTTCCTCAGCTTTGAGTCTGTAAATATCCAGTTCCCCAGCAAACTGCTACCCAGTGGTTTTAGCATTTTTTTGCTGGTTCTTGCCTGCAGTTATTATTCAAAGGTGTTTGCAAAATTGATTGGGATTTTAAAAGGACCGATGTGTGTAAAATATGGTGGCGAGACTGGGAGGATAGGACGGGAGCAGGGAGATCAGTGAGGAGGCTGTTATAGTCGTCTGATCAGGAGCCAATGCTAACTTGGCCTAATATAATAGGTAGAAATGGAGATGGAGAAAAGTGATTGAGTCTGCATCTTTTTGAAAAGCCAGTAGAATTGGATAATGGGGTATGAGAACAAGAACAGTCAAAGGTGAATCCAAAGTTTTTGGCCCAAACAGCTAGGAGGCTGGAGCTGCCCTTTCCTGGACATGACAGGAGAAGCAGGTTTGGCATGTCTCATCTCTCTTGTGAATGACAGAGCTTGTCTTTAGGGTCACCTTCAGGTATAAGATCCCTTGCATTACAGGCTCTTAGTAGTCTAAAGTCTGCCCCTCTCCAAAGAGCAAAAGAATACCATCTGCACATCCTGAGTTAAACTTCCAGAAACGACAAAGGGAGTGTCATCTGTGGAGGACCAGGTCACGGAGGAGTTCTGTTCTCTGCCAGGCGTCCTTCCGTGAACATAGCTGGTGGCCTCAGACCCAGCCTTGCTGTCAGACTCAGCCTTTTGTTCAGCTTTCCTTTGGCAGGAGTCATTGATTCAGGTTTCTGCTTCTCCTGTTAACTGGCACCAGACATCCCTGTGGTCACCTTGTTTGGTGGCAGCGAAGATTGTCTCAACTTCTTTGAAGTTAAAGCATTGCCCAGGGGTGGACAGCTCTTGGTGGGGCTGTCCCCCAGGAGTTCTGTGGTTCTGCATGTGAGTCTCTTCCTTAAACAGTGTTGTTTTTATTTTTTGACTTTGGGCTGAGGGGGTTTATAAAATGGTTTTCTTGAAAGGATCCACTTAGCTCTAATCACAAACTAAAAGCTTCTGCCAGGTTTTGTGTTAAAATATACACACTGTTCTTCTTAGAAATCTAAAGATAAAAGGAAGCTTTTCTAAAACCACTAAATAATGTAATTGACTTCTACTTTTACATATCTCAACAGTGGCAGTTATTAAAATCGACACACAGGGCTCTGTATATTAGCTTCTGGGTGGCATAACCCCAACAACATTAATTAAATAATAACAGCTGAGAGGCAGGCATTTCCTGGAGATCAATACCATCTAGAAGGACTTGGTACAAGATATGGCTGGGCGCTAATCCTCAGGATGTAACTTGTTGCCACTATCATCACTTTTATGAGAAGGGAAGATGAGTTGACATAATTATACAATTTTTTTAGCAAATGATGAAGTTGCAATTGATACAACCAGGGTTTTTTTTTAAAAAAACCTATGGCCTCAGCCCCTAGCAAAGAATTGTGGGTCAGACATCTTTCCACTTCCCATTTGGTTTATGGTAATAATTCGGTCCTTCACCAAAGCCTAAGCTTTCTGACCTGGTGCAGCACCTCGTTGGACTTCCTTTCTGTTGAAGCAGAGAACCAGTTCTGTGTGGATGAAATACATGACTTACCATTTCATATTCATTTCTATGGGTAGTAGTTCTCAAGTATGGCCTGGGGGTCCCTGAGACTCTTTCGGGGGGTCCATAAAATCAAAACTATTTTCATGATCATATTCAAACACTCTCTTCCGGTTTCATTCTCATTCTCTCAAGAGTGAACAGTGGAGTTTCCCAGATATTACATGTCATGATGATATCATCACTCTGATGGCTAATGGGCAGTGCACCTGTGTGTTCTGGGGTTCAAATTTTCCAATACATATTTTTGTAACTTCCTGGATTCTATAATTATTTCAAACTTAAAATGTTTTAAAACTTCTAATAAGTAAATATCAATGTATCTAACTCCCATAAACAAAAGCTCTTTGAGGACTTTAGTAATTTTAAAAGTGTATGTCTCAGTGGTTAGAGTGTCAGCCCACTCACCCAAGGGTCGTGGGTTCGATTCCCAGTCAAAAACATGTACTTGGGTTGCAAGTTGGATCCTTGGCCCCCAGTTGAGGCGTGTGCGGGAGGCAACCAATCAATGTGTCTCTATCACATTGATCTTCCTCTCTCTCTCTCCCTCTCTCTCTCTCTCTCTCTCTCTCTCTCTCTCTCTTTCTTTTCCTTCCCCCTCCCTGCCCTCCCTCCCTTCCACTTTCTCTAAAAATCAATGGAAAAAGTATCCTTGGGTAAGGAGTTAACAACAACAACAAAAAGAGTGTAATGGGGTCCTGACACCAAAAGATTACGAGTTACTGCTATGAGCTATATAAAGAGGATACAGTGTTGTTTTTTTCCTTTAGCAACTGAAATAAATTAGTTAAGTTTTATTTTATGTACTCTCCACCTTCCACTTCTTGATGTTCCCCTTATTTAGGATAAAAGGAAAGTGAGCAGAACTCTTTATCCAACAAATACCTCTGAATAAAATGTGCACTTTGTCTCATACTTCATCACTGCTAATTCTATCTATGGTTCATGAAAAAACTCTCTGAAACCCTAAAATTTGTATAAACTTCATAAAGATGCAGACTTACAACATGGGGCTGAGCTTTAAGAAAAACTGACCCTCTAGAGAAGAGCACCCTCAGCCTGATTCTAAGAATGAAAAGCAAGTCACGGTAATCGAGGAGTGAAACTTACCTCTTCCGGTGCCTGGAAGTTGAACTGTCGGGCATTCTCGTGTAGTGTTTTTGCACATGCACTGGGTATCTTTTCTACTGCCCAGAGGTGACATTTTCTTACTCGGAAAGGTTAAAACCCACCCACACTGATTATCGTACAACTTTGTAGCATCTTCTAGCTGCTGGGTAGCCTGCTGAATGACAGGGGAAGTCTCCATTCCTAGAGGAAACACGGGCCTGGGGAGAAAGGTCTTCCCACGTGGTGGAGGGTCTATCATGGGAGGAAGACCTGCTCTCTGAGTCATTGCTTCCTGTGCACAAGTTCTGAGTTAAGCCTTTTGGCAAAATAGTCTACTAGAACCTAAAACAACACATTGGCAGGAAAGGGTCTGGCCCAGGCCAGACACTGCCTTTGCTGGCTCCCCTCCGACGCTCCCTCAGCCTTCCCTGCCCTGGATCCATTCAGCGGCATTAGTCCTGTTCAGAGGACGGGTCAGGGATTCACTTGCTGAAAAATGCCTCTTGCATACTTCTTTCTCAGTGCTCTCCTCTCCACGTTTTAAGTAGATGGGCTTTTTTCTGAGGGTGCCTTCTGCTCAGAAGCTTCAGCAGCCCTACCTGAGAACTCACTGGTGGGCGGGAGAGCGCACAGAGGCCCTTCTCGCCTCACCTGGCGAAGTATTTTACAGGGAGGAATACAGCCTCCAGAATAGAATGGGCCATTGAACACCACATGCCAAATGCAGGTTTAAGGGAGAACATTGTCAGCTGTTGCTTTGGCTTTTAAAGTCTTCATATTAGAAAGCTCGGTTTAATCAGTTTAATTGGCTCCTGACTTACTCTTTTCCCATTTGAACTTTCACTATTATCTTTTCTCCCTGAGCAAGCAGAGTTTAGTAAAATTCCATTTCTTACCTGTTGTCTTTCCCAATCCTTCTAAGTTTTCTCCAAAACTGATAGTAATGAGAATGTTTATATCTTTGGTCTCAGAACACGTTGATGAATGGGTTTCAGTGTCTTCAAGCTTTCCCATTTGTGGGTTAGACTCTACCCAAATGTAACAAATGCTGAGCTCTCACCCGTGAAGTTAATTTTGGCCTAGACCTGTGGTCGGCAAACTCATTAGTCAACAGAGCCAAATATCAACAGTACAATGATTGAAATTTCTTTTGAGAGCCAAATTTTTTAAACTTAAACTATATAGGTAGGTACATTGTTATTAACTTAATTAGGGTACTCCTAAGGCATAGGAAGAGCCACACTGAAGGGGCCAAAGAGCCGCATGTGGCTCTCGAGCCGCAGTTTGCCGACCATGGGCCTTGACGACAGCTTTCCCATGAAGTCTGCTTTAAAACGAAGAATACTACCCCTGCCCAGGGAACCTCAGCTATATGGGGCAGGTGGGGGCTTGTGAATACTCTTGTAATATGTTAGAGGGGGCACAGCTGCTTGTCCTAAAACATGTATATGTATCCAGAATGTGCATGTTAACATTCACATTTTACCTTTTTGTCCTCTCTCTTACCTCTCTTCTCAATTTCATAGGGTGATATCCATGAGGATTTTTGCAGCGTTTGCAGAAAAAGTGGTCAGTTGCTGATGTGTGACACGTGTTCCCGTGTGTATCATCTGGACTGCTTAGACCCTCCTCTGAAAACGATTCCCAAGGGCATGTGGATCTGTCCCAGATGTCAGGACCAGGTAGGGGGACAGTGGTCAGACAGAGGGCGGGACCAAGGAGGAGCAAGATAACATGGTCAGGTCTTCCTTCCCCTATGATCTGGGGGATGGCAGTCTCTGCCCTTCCCAGTTCTCAGGCCATGTGAGCCCTGTTCACAGCAGAGCACTCGCCTGCCAGCTTCCCTCCCCTCAGAGACATTCTGTCATATTCGTGAGGCAGCGACTCGATGTGCTGGTAGAGAGACCCTGATAGCTTCCCTTTATGTGAAATGACTTATTACCTTGACCCTAAAAGTCCATAAGACTTTCTGCCTCATTCTCTAAGAATGGTACAAACCTAGTATATGTTTTTGAAACTCTATATTGAAAATAAAATTCTTTTTTGTTTGTTTGTTTTTGTTAATCCTCACCTGAGGATATTTTTTCCATTGCTTTTCAGAGAGAGTGGAAGGGAAGGAGAGGAGGAGGAGGAGGAGAGAGACATTGATGGGAGAGAGACACATTGACTGGTTGCCTCCTGCACACTCCCCAGCCAGGGGTAAGGAGCAAACCGCAACCCAGGTACATGCTGTTGACAGGGAATCAAACCTACGACCCGTCAGTGCCTAGGCCAGCGCTCTAAACACTGAGGCACGGGCCAGTACTTTCTTAAATGAAAGTATTCAGTCGGTTGTTTCATTCAAATAATAGCTTCACTTTTAACCTATGTTGTCATCAGGATCAGAGAACTAACTGTACAGTGGTATCAATATTCCATGGACTTGAAAGGCAAGCACAGAATCATGTGCTACTTAACGACAGGGATACATTCTGAAAAATGTGTCATTAGATGATTTTGTCCTTGCGAGAGTATCACAGAGCGCATTTACACACACCTAGATGGTAACCTGCTGCACACCTAGGTCCAGCCTATTGCTCCTGGGCTACAAGCCTCTATGTCTCATTACAAACAACACGAGATTAAGTCAAGCACAAGAGAAAATGATGCAATCGAGAGACACAGTTCACATGAGATGTATGAGGCCGTAGCCAGCGTAGCACAGAATATTGCTTTACAACAAACTTCCTGTTTTTAATCAATAGAACTGTATACTCTGAAATAAAAAGTATAGTATAGCAAATACATAAACAGTAGCATAGTTGTCTGTTATCATTATCAAGTACTATGTACTGTGCATAACTGTATGTGCGATATGTGTATGACTGGCAGTGCAGTAGGTTTGTTACACCAGCAGCACCACGAACACATGTGTTCTATGATGTTACTAGGCCATAGGAATTTTTTGGCTCCATTATAATCTTATGGGCCCACGTGTATATGTGGTCGGTCATTGATCAAAGCATCGTACGGCACATGACTGTATGGTTAGCTACCCCAGCTTTCCCTCCTCTGCTTAGTTTCTGATTTCTTTTTCTCACATACCCATGTATCTTAATGTTTTCATTATAGGTGGTCTCATGTCGCTTTTTTAGAAGTAGGCAAAGTATAACCAAATAAGGTCAGTAGCTCAGCAGACATTGGGATGCTGCTCAGGTCTTGGGAATCTGGTCTGAGAGAATTCTGGTTTTTCCCCTTTTAACCTTGGTCCTCTTCCTGCTGTCGCCTGATGTAGTTATAGGGACAGTTCTCTCCTTGTTCTCTTCCAGTTGCTGCTTTGTGATTCTCTGATCATTTGTCACATGGGGTCTGGATTATATGTGGTATCAGAGCTGAGACGTCATTTCCTTGGCCAGGCTGCCTTTCAGGGGCATGGAGCTAAAACTGAGATAGGCAGCCCGTGTCGGGTCAGGGACGAAGCTGCCCATGGCTGCGGCCACAGTGCCGACCTGCCGCTTATGCTGGTGGTTCTGCCTGTGGGACTCATCAGGAGCCTGTGACACGAGTGAAAAGATAGGAGTGCCCAGCTTCCTTCTCACTCAGGGATCAAGTAGCTTGGCTGTCCCTGCTTTGTACCTCATTCTCTCAGGCTGGTACCTGGAACTTTACAGTCCAGAAACTGTAGAACAGCATTTTGCACCGCTGCCCTCATAATCCCTCGTGGATTTTTATCTGCCCGTAGCTGCAGTCACCCTTGCTGGTCATTACACAGGGGACGTGTGTTTACCTCCTTCTCAAGGTAAAATTCTAAACATATTTTCAGATGCTGAAGAAGGAAGAAGCAATCCCGTGGCCTGGAACTTTGGCCATTGTCCATTCCTACATCGCCTACAAAGCAGGTAAAGAGTTACCCGTACGCTCTTGTGTCATCTTCCCTTGTTTAAAAAAACAAAAAAGGTACTGGGTGTAAGTATTTGCTTTGTTTTAAAAAGGAAATTTAACGTTAAAAATGAAAAGCTTCTAGTGAATGAAATGGAAGACTGTGTAGCACTTTCTTGGGAGGAAGAATGAGAAGTAGATCTTGTTCATATGAAGCCAGGCTGAAGCCCCTGACCATCTTCCTAGCAAGTCTGTGCACGGAAAGGGGAAGAGGGCCCTGTGCACTGGCTGGGGGCTCGGGGAACTTTGGGGAGAATATCTTCTTTGGCAAACATTCTGAACACTGGCCTTTTCAAAGAATTTATTGTTAAAAACAGTTCATTTTTTTTTTTCAGCTAAAGAAGAAGAGAAACAGAAGTTACTTAAATGGAGTTCAGATTTAAAACAGGAACGAGAACAGCTAGAGCAGAAGGTGAAACAGCTCAGCAGTTCTATAAGTGTAAGTGAGCCTCCTGCCTTCGGCGATAAAGCAGACAGAGCTTCCCAGGCACATCGCAGCTCCTGTGGCTCCCAGGACTGGTTCCAGTCCTTTAGCTCTTAACACAGCTGACTTGGGCAGATGGAAAGCTTGCCTCCAGTTAGAGTTGGCCCTCAGGTACAGGGGGCCCATTGGTATATGGTGCCTTAGCCACGCTCTGGAACAGCCTCTTGGTTTTGGTCTGAGAGCAAGCATTTTCAGTCTCCTGGCCGCAGAGGTAGATTAGAAGCTGCAGTCGTGTAGCTGCCACCCCTGTGCATCCTAAGCATGTTTGGGGGGAGTGTGGAGCCTGACCTGACAACAGACAGGTGCAGACCAGCCCCGCATCTGCGTCTTTCTCGTCGCCCAAGCTAGTGAGTCCGTCCACACGGCCCGTCTCTTCCACTCTTTCTTCCCCACCGTGCTGTTTGCGTTTCCAGGTTTTCCTGACCAGCCTGAGGAAGAGGGGTTTCTAGAGACAAGTTTGGAAGTAAATACTGCCCAGCCTGCCGTGTCCAGGTGGGAACGAGAGTTGTACTTGTAACCGAGATTCAGAGGCTCCTCCCGACGGGCAGGTTCTTTCCCGCGGAGTAGGTGCCTGTCGGAGTGAGGTGGCCTTGGCCCTCAGACACTGGGTGGTGTCCCGGACCTGGTGACGGTTGAGCTGTCCCACTCACCTGCTTTCGTCCCTCCCCACCTTCCTACCCATGGCATGCAGGTCTCACTTCTCTTTCCCTGCCTAGCGCAGAAGCCAACAGGTGTGAGAGGCTGAGGGCAAAAGACTACAGGTGACGAGCAGGAGGGGTTCTGTTGGCTGAAGTCTGATTCTCCTAACATCGCTGTCCCGCCCAGGCTCTGCCTCTGAGTTCTTGCCGACCGAGTGATCCTCGGGAGGCCCTCCGGTTGAACACAGACACCCCTGGCTTGTTTTCTACCCTGAAAAGCTCAGTCCGGTCCTGACCATGTTAGCACCGGCAGCGCAGTGCAAACACCCGCCCAAACCAGCTTCTGCGCGGCTGTGGGAACTTTGTTCTTGTTGTTTTTAATTCTTACCTGAGGATGTGTTTATTGATTTTAGAGGGGAAGGGAGAGGGAGAGAGAAGCATTGATGTGAGAGAGAAATATCAACCGGTTGCCTCCTATATGCTCCCTGACAAGGGATTGAACCCGCAACCTGGGTATGTGCCCTGACTGGGAATCAAACCTGCAACCCCCCGATGCTCTAACACATTGAGCCACACCGGCCAGGCGGAATTGTGTTTTTAAAATTACTTATTTCATAGTATTAGAGCAGTCATTCACCTTTGGTTTTAAGTCCCAGTGTCAAGTAGAATTGGCTTTTAAACCACTCGTTTGCCCTCTGTCTCTTGCCTCTGGGGCCTCCTCCTTCCTTGGGCGGTGGCTCCCACTCCTGTGGAGCAGAACAGGTCCCGGGCTGCACACTAACCAGCGAGGATCCTTCCACCTGCAGAGGCTGGCAGGCCTGGCAGCAAAGCCACAGGCTCAGTGCCACCGCCCTTCTCGTTTGCTGCAGAAATGCATGGAAATGAAGAACACCATCCTGGCCCGGCAGAAGGAGATGCACAGCTCCCTGGAGAAGGTGAAGCAGCTGATCCGCCTCATCCACGGCATCGACCTCTCCAAACCCGTAGACTCTGAGGCCACTGTGGGGGCCATCTCCAACGGCCCGGACTGCACCCCCCCTGCCAACGCCGCCACCTCCACGCCAGCCCCCTCCCCGTCCTCGCAGAGCTGCACAGTGAACTGTAACCAGGGGGAAGAGACTAAATAACAGAGCCCTGCCAGGAGAAGCCACGGGATCCCGGCGGCGAGGAGAGCAAAACACTGAAGACTCTAGAAAAGCAAAGCCGGATTTCTTCTGGAAAGTACAGAATTCTTTTGGTTCTTTGGTTCCAGAGAGAGAGAAGATGCTTGTGCCAGGTGGCACCAGAGTTTGCCAATTGATCCTTCTTATTCTGTGTGTACATGCAAAGATTGGACCATGTTACATGAAATAGTGCCAGCTGGAGGTTCTTTGCCAGCACCATGCCAAGTGAAATAATATATTTACTCTCTCTATTATACACCAGTGTGTGCCTGCAGCAGCCTCCACAGCCACGATGGGTTTGTTTTTGTTTTGTTGGGTGGGGAGCAGGGACGGGCGGAGGGAGGAGAGCAGGTTTCAGATCCTTATTTGCCGAGCCGTTTGTTTAGGTAGAGAAGACAAGTCCAAAGAGTGTGTGGGCTTTTCCTGTTTCTAAACTTTCACTACTTAAAACCAAAAAAAGGAAATCGAGATTTCACCAACCCCAGTGCCCAGAGGAGGGATGGGGAGGGAATGGGAGGGAGCCGGGGTGGGAAAAGTATATCAAATAAGCAGTATTTCTTATCATGTGTGGTGGGCCACAGTGTGCGGAGAGATGGGCACCAAGGACGGCCGTCGGGTTCTCTGAGCACGCGCTTCCCTGCCGTGGGCGCCCCACCGCTCCCCAGGTTCCTTCCCTGCTCTGGCAAATGGGCGCGCGCCCCGTGGATGGTGGGTCCCTTCCCTCTCCAAGAACAAGCAGAGCCAGGCTCAGTCAGCCCTTGCCCAGGGCAGGGAAGAAGGGTGTGTGTGTCGAGGAAGGAAAAAAGGTGGATCAGTGATTTTACTTGAAAACAAGCTCCATCCCCTTTCTATATTTATAAAAGAAGATCCTGAGCGTAGCAGCACACGACCAGGTGTGTGTGGATTGAATGGAGACGTCTCTCTTTTTCTTTTTTTAATTTTTGTTCTTTATTTTCTTTTTTAAAAAGTTTTATTTTATTGTTTCTTTTACTTTTTTGGTAACAAAAACTAAAATAAGGAATAGAAAAGCTGTTTTTCAGGCTGACAGTCCAGTTAAGGGTAGTCGAGACCTTGCATGGTAGAATAGGAGCCATAGTGTCAGTGAGGTCCAGTGAGTCTGTGTGAGTCCTTGTGTCATCGTCGGGGCACTGTTTTTTATGCAAGGGCAAAATCTTTGTATCCGGGGAAAACAACAACAACTTTTTTTTAAATTAAAAAAGAAAAATAAAAGATATTGAGGTCTTCCTAGTGTTACTTAAATTAAGATCAAGGTAAGAAACATTGTAAAAAAAATTACAAAAGTGCTATTTGTTTCCTAAAAACAGTGATTTCTATTAAAAAAGGTGTCAGAACTGGAGAAAATGCTGTGTAGTTATAATTTTTTAGCACAGAACCTGCTGATCATGATGCCATTTTGCTGTGTTTGTGTCTCAAGACTGGTGGGCTAGTCTCCATGATTTCTGACCTGGGATGGCTGCCGGCCTGCCGGGCAGGGGCGGAGCTCTCCTACCATCCCCTCCTCAGAGAAGACTGCCCTCTCTTCTTGGTGCAGGGATCTGGGCTCCTGTTTTTGAAGCCCAAATGGAGTGTGGATCGTATCGAGGTCCTACCCACTATCCCCACAGATTTTGCTAGAGCAAAAGGCTGGTGCCTAAATAAGATCCCTTCCTTTGGTGCTGCTCTTGGTCTTTCAGCCACCAGCATTTCGAGTGCCTGGGGGACAGCTTGGAAGGAAATGGCCAGGGAAGCTCATTGGTGCCTATGCACCCCAGCCCTCTGGGAGGGGGCAGGGGGCAGGCTGGCTGCATCAGCCCTTGGTGCTTAGAAAGAACAAAGGAATGCGGTTTCTCAAGGTTGCATGGTGTGTCAGAGCCAGAGCCCCAGGGTGGCCTTTGCATCTGTCTTGCCTTTGAAGAGAGGTCTAAATGTCCAGCCCCTTTCTCTGCCTGCTGGCTCCAGGCACCGGAGATGGACTTCACTCCACTTTGCCCACCCACAAGCTTCCTGGGTAACCTTTGGCCACAATCTCTGTGCTTGCCTTGGCTGGCTTGTCTCCTTAAAAACCAGGGTTCTGAAAGGCTCGGACATTTCTGTCGTCTTGCCTGTGGAAAATAAATTTTGCCAGGTGTGTCCTCCGGCTGGAGTTCTTGGCCTAGCAGGAGGGAGGCAGAGGCCCGGGCGCCACAAGCCCTCCCAAAGCCCCTCCCCCAAGCCCACTCTGTGCTTCTTACTGGCCAGAGTCTAGGAGGGGCAGGAAAGGTCCCATTAACTTCTCCCTCATCCAGTTAGACCCAGAGACAAAGATGGATCCTGAGAGCAAACACAACAGAGAGACACTTCTTAGGTGAAATGTCTCACCTCCACCAGCGATTTTCATCCATCTTCCAGGGAGGTCCCAGGAGGGACTCCGAGGCAGGACTGAGAGGTTGCCTGAGGGGGATGGAGAGGAGCTCCCTTTCCTCATGCAGAAACCAAGGTGCTATGTCTCGTCAGGGAGTTTAGGAAGTGCCTGGACTAGTTGGAGGAATAGCTGGCGGAGGT